AGACCCGTACAATATCTCTAGCGGCTTGTAGTCAGTGACTAAATCAAAAAGCTTTCCAAATAAAAATATTAAAATGTTCGACCCCCTAAACTAATGCTAGTGCCTCCTTTTTCCGTTTGGCTATACCTGCGCTCGCAGTCTGTCAAAGCTCGATTACCATAGGCAATAATTCTAGGGCCAAATGTATCATTTTGTACAAGGACAGCACCAAGTCCGACAGGGCTAGCATCTGCTATCACCTGTCTTGCATCTCTGACGTCATAATACCCTAAAATCTGTATTTCCAATTTAGACGGGCCTTGCACTTCTTCAATTTTTCAATTCAAACTGTTTAGTGATTCCTTAATTTTGATTGCAACCTTCTCTTTAAAGGGGATCGGCTTGCTTTTACTCTCCACTTGATTTATCCCGATACCAAGTTTTAAGACACCCAGTCGGACTGCTGTGTTCTTACCAAACAGGTTTCTAGTACCCCCCGAAATCACGTAAATGGTTGTATGTTCCTTTCGTCCATCGACTTCGAGTATAGTTTCAAATGAACCCTCTATTGCCAAAGGAGAGTTACTACCATATGCTAATAATGTCTTGTCTGGTCTTTACATTTGATTAAAAGCATATACTTTTTTGCTTTTTAACTCTTCCCATGTTTTGTAAGATATAAGGTTCTTGCGCAATTTCGAATTACACTTTTCCGCAATTTGATCTATGAAATGATCATCTTGCTTTTTGAATGCACACTTTTCGGCCTGTTGACGCAATCTTATCAAAAAATTCTCAAATGTTTCTCCTTTTTTCTGTTTTTGCAATCGAAAAACATGCCGCTCATAAACTTTGCTCCGTTTAGGTTGAAAATACTCGTAGAGTTTTTTTTTATGGCTACTTAAAATACATCAACGGTTTTTGATGATTCGACATTGGCACCTGGTAAATTGTAGAATATTTCTTTTATCCCAAAACCACCAAAATGCAATAGCGTAGCTCGTTTCTTGAGTGCTGATATAACTTCAGCTACGTCCAGATAGATTAGTAGAGACCTTTTTCATTTTCCACACCTTATAGCCATAGATGTGCTACCACATTAAAGTTGATAACGGTATCATTATTATTATTATTTTAGGGGCAAACTGAAACAGTTTTTTATATCTTTATTTCCAATTTAATGCTGGTATTTTAATACCCAAAGTCCAATTTAATGGTAGTAACTTAGTACCCAAAGTCCAATTTAATGGTAGTAACTTAGTACCCAAAGTCAAATTTAACGGTAGTAACTTAGTACCCAAAGTCAAATTTAATGGTAGTAACTTAGTACCCAAAGTCAAATTTAATGGTAGTAACTTAGTACCCAAAGTCCAATTTAATGGTAGTACTTAGCACCCAAAGTCCAATTTAATAGTGGTACCTTAGTACCATAACTCCAATTTAATGGTGGTACCTTAGTACCCTAACTCCAATTTAATGGTGGTATCTTAGTACATAACTCAATTTAATGATGGTATCTTAGTACCCAACTCAATTTAATGATGGTATCTTAGTACCGAACTCAATTTAATGATGGTATCTTAGTACCCAACTCAATTTAATGATGGTATCTTAGTACCCAACTCGATTTAATGATGGTATCTTAGTACCCAACACAATTTAATGATGGTGTCTTTGTACCCAACTCAATTTGATGATGGTATCTTTGTACCCAAACTCAATTTAATGATATTAATATGTTCCATAACACTCTCCCTTCTCTTTCGGTTTATTTGTTATACCGACTACTTTCATTGCTGTGCCATTTAGGCTGTGGGTGAATTCAATACCTATATTGCGCATTTACAGTATTACTTGTAAATAATAGTTAATTAGTATAAATTGTAGTTAATTAAACTACCTGACATGTTAAAAAATGAAAATAATGACATCATATTTACAAAAAAAATTAAAACGTTAGTTACTATAGTACTAATGAAATTTTACAAATATGTAATATTTATATAGGTTTTACAAAATGATCACTAATTTAAATTGAATTCTATCTCAATAAATCACAATGACATTCTTATAAGTAGTGAAATAGGCTTCCTCTCTCCTAGCCCCTAAATTGCGTGCCCAACAGGGTCCATAACACTGGTCTGACATTATTTTATAACATCTTGTGTACATTATGGTTTAGCAATAAATGTTTGAGTTTGAATTTGAGTTTAGTTACCTACTTTGCAATGTACAGAAGTCGTGAAGTGTCCACGATTTTTTTGTAAGACTTATAGATGCCATGAAAGCAGTAAAATAGTATTTTCATTAAAGGCGATAAATATCACCTCTACATGTAAAATGCCACTAAAATTTAGCTAACGACATTGTATTTCGGTTCGAATCGAGAGGAGTGATTAGTAACATCTACTATTTTTCCATCAAAAATCTTTTTAAATAAAAGTTGTGCTAATAGACATATGTTAAAATAAATCATTATTTTATCATTGCTACATAAAGAAAATAATTTTTTTGCACACCATAAGCGTGGTCATATGCGAACATACAATTTATATAAATTATTAAAATGATCAGAACAGGGTTAAAAACAATAAATTATAATTCACAGTTTTTTTCCGCGGGTAATCTAGGAATTAATTTACAATTGCAATGCTAATAGTTGCACATTGCTAACCTATTTTTGATTATATCTTTATACTAAATAGGTACTTATCTTTTTCCTCGTCGCCACTTGTAATGTCTGCTATCTTCTCTAACCACTGTAGTGTAACACAGGCTCGGCACGCACTTTAACTAAACAACACGTCCACTCTCGCCCGAGGCTATCGTGTAACTGACGCGGTGCGCTCGAGACAGTGACTTATATATAAATGTATGTTTGTGCATGGTCAATTATTAGTAAATAAAACCAATAACAATATTTACTGTATACTACATGTATGTAAACACTACATATGACATACTTGCTCAGTGCCCATGACATTTTCTACGGACAGATACTCGACAACATCACCTTCCACAGGTGACATGATTTGTTCTTTGAACTGCCCCAAAATTTATTTGTCGGTGTTAAAATTGCTCTTTCATATTGCCATTCTCTGTTCTTCATATTAATTTTTAGATCAAGATAGACGTTGCTTTTAAATCATATGTGTTTTGTACTGTAATTTGTGATTGTAATCTGAAGTGTCGGAATAAATATCTTTATGTCTTTAATATTACAGAAATTTGTGTTCAAAGTAATTATACCGTTACTTTCTGTTGCCACACGATCTTCTCCTATTTTCAAAAGAGCAGCCGCATATTGCCCCGATTATTTATCACAGTGCAGTTGTACTCGCATCACTCACGCAACACTAGGCGCTGTCACCCAGCGATACTGTTATAATATATCTATGCGTGTGTGAAATTGTTAGTATATTGTTTTAATTAGTTTGTGTTTCATAGTGACAGACTATTGTTTTTAAGTGCGCAGATTTCCCCCACGAAAAAACTTGCGGACAGTTCTGTATCTACTATGGGTAGTCCACTCCGGTCCGCCGGTAGCCCGGATATACATTGTTTACGTTCATACTGTCAATGTTAAAAACATAATTATCGCTTAGAAAATTTATGTAAGTACATACCAAACAGTATTATTTAATTAAGTAATACGTTTGAGTAAGTACAAGCATATGTACCTGTGTTATTACTATAAGGCCATTGTCAAACACTTAATAGTCTGTGATCAAACATTCGCACGGAGTAGAGATTGTCGTCAAAGTATTTTAAAATTTTGCCAACAAAATAATTACTGACAGATATATTAGACTGAATAAGCTGTGAATTTTGTGTTTATTTTTTTTTAAATATGTTTATTCAATATAGATTATAACTAATACTCACTGAAAGTCACTCTTTTGTTAGATTACCACTGGTTCGGAAAAAACCTCTGTCCTGGGAAGAACCAGCAAGAAACCCAGCGGGACTTTTTTTTAAATAACAGCTTACAATCATGATGTTACACAAATTAACAACACAACAAATTAGAAATAGCTTGGTAGCGATCACCTCATTTCCAGGGGTTATTATCATCCATAAATTCCTTATTATTATAATAACCCTTTTTATACAAACTTAGTTTAATAAAGTTTTTGAACTTTGAACAGGTCAAACTTTGTATATTTTCTGGAATTTTGTTGTAAAAGCGTATACATCGCCCCAAGAATGAATTACTGACTCGATGGAGTCGAGTAACTGGTACTACTAGCTTGTGTCTGTTCCTAGTATTTACAGAATGAATATCACTTATTTTTGTAAAACTACTTTTATTTTTGTGTACGTACATTACATTTTCATAAATGTATTGAGAGGCCAAAGTTAATATATTAATTTCCTTAAATTTTTGTCGCAGCGACTCTTTAGGCTTTAAATCATAAATTGCTCTTATGGCCCTCTTCTGCAAAACAAATATAATTTCAGTGTCAGCTGCGTGTCCCCATAGCAAAATACCATACGACATTATGCTATGCTAAAGTAAACTAGTCTAGCTGTTTCAACACTGGTTAGACTTCTAATCTTTTTTACAGCATATGCTGCAGAACTAAGTCTGCTTGCTAGTTTTGACATATGAGGGCTCCATTGAAGCTTCGCGTCTAGTGTGATTCCAAGAAAAATGGTGGTATCTACAAGACTCAGTTTCTCCCCATTTAAAATTACATTAGTATTTAATTGTTTGACATTTGGAGTCACGAATTTCATACATTTTGTTTTAGTGCCATTTAAATGCAAATTATTAACATCGAACCAATTTCTGTGTGTGATTTCTAATGTTCATTTTTCAATAGTCTGTGTAGTGTATGTCAAAAAGTATGCCTTTATTTTATATTTTATGTGTATATATGAGTAGTATGTAAAACAGTTGAAAGCATATAGCATAAAAATACATATATACTGAGATTTGAATATGAACGTTACGGTCAAATTTCGACAACTGGGCGACCATTAGTAAGTTTTAAAACTAAAATCAAAAATGGACTTACCTATACAGCCTCGGACTCCAAATCCAAAAGGACTAAAGGCAAACGGATGAGCATTGCCGTGGTACAAGGGATCGTCTTTATCAACTATCCATCGCTCCGGAATGTACTCGCGTGGTCTCGGGTAATGAGAGTCCATCATAGAAGTATACTGATGTGCGAATGTCACATAAGTCTGAAACAAATAATATATTTTTCTTCGTAATTCATTACAGCCTATAAAAGTCTACTGCTAAACATAGGCTTTCATATATCACAAATATTAAAACACAAACACATATCCCATTGAAATTTATTCAAAATAGACTTCAGAACTCAATATTTTCCGTTTTGTTATACTATTATAAGTAACAGCTGCATCCAACGTGATAAGTGTTTACTAATGAGAAGTAATTAAATGTTAAACCGTAATAAAATTTGGTTGTCCACAAAAAACAGCATTTAAATGATTTGGTTAGCGTTCAAATATTCTGTTTGCAATAAAAAAAAATATTCGATAATTCTTGTTTCGCAAATGATCTTGATAATGTTCAGTAATTTAAGCATAAATAGGCAGATTATAATAATATGAGTTTGCCTAATAAACAGTCAATCCAAAAAATACTTAATTGATCAGCAAACTTCACGATTGGTTAGCAAAGAGAATATGTCTTTAAGCAGAGACCTAATTTCAACCAACTACTGTTAAATTTGTAAAAATACGTAAATACGTATCAAGTAATATCAGCGACAGTAGATGTAAGGTTCTACACCTACTGTCGCTGATATTACTAGAATACTACACATACTAAACATGAATACTATGCAAACCATTTCACTAACATCCTTTATTAATAACCAAATCTAAAATATCTATACGAATAGCTTTTTGTCTGAGAGAATAAAAAATGACAAAATTTTCTCTCATCGTCAGTCTACTTGCTAACCAATAATAAAATTACGCCCCACACTCAGTTGTGAAAGTGTTGAAATTTGTCTCAGTATTAAACTTATAGGTTAAACTAAATTAGTCTTAATACTTTTTTTTTTTTTAATTTTTGACACTAATGCACAAATACTCAAGTACTACTCAATTTTAGGACGCCGTTAAGTCTCGTGCTGTCTTTATCACTTTAACTCAAAGTGACTCTGACTGTCAGACTAACTGACAAGATGTTGTTAAGTCTCGTGATGTCAGAGTCTGACATCTTAACAACATCTTAAAATTGAGTACCTAGCGCAAAGAGAATATAATCACTACGTTTAACCTAGCGTTTGAGTATTTAGCCATAACAAAACTGTTAACTATAACAAAACAAGGTCAAATCGAAGTCAGTACTATGGAATGACTTCCTTCTTACAGTACAGTACTTCTGTTAGGTAAAAATGAGAAATAATGAAACTATATGTTGTCACCTGTTTTGGTATTTTATATCCAAGTAAGTTATACTCCTTCGAAGTTTCTCTCATATTACCCGCCACTACTGGCATCATTCGCATAGCTTCTTTAATACACGCTTTCAGATATGGTCGTTTATCCGATTTCGATAATAGTTCATCTCTCAATTTATTTTGCTTTTCAGGATTTGTTGCCAGAAAATAAAATATTGGTATTATTGTATGGGCTGCCTGTAATTATAAATATTAATTACAGGTTATTAAGTATGAATCCAAATACCACACAGAATGATCAGATCTGCATAAATTTTATTTGGCGTAAATAACTTACGGTGTCAACACCCGCGAATAACAAATCGCTCGCCATTAAAATTGCAACGTGTTCGTCAATCTCAAGCAGCTTCTCTAAAATTCCTTTCTCATTTTCTGAACTCTTTTTTGATTGTAACTTGTCCATGGCATTTTTTATGAAATATCTATTCAAGCTGAAAGGTATTAGCAATAAAATTGAAATTAAATAATTTTTACATATATAGATTTAAAAAGTTCATGATATATTTATAACTTACTTTTCTTGCTCTTCATATAATTTCATCGCTCTCTTATAAGTTTTAGTTGGGTAATATCGCCATAGACTCGGTTGAAAATCTAACTTGTTCGCGGTATTGAAAAAGTCATGTACTATTTGAATGAGCTTTTTCACAGGAGAATCCGCAGGTAGATTAGGATCAAAGCAATTGAGGCGACCGCCGAGTGCTACAACCCCAATAGACTCCAAAGCCCATAAGTTCATTTCTTCGCTTAAATCACTTCTTATCATATTATTCTCATCACGAATTGATCTCATCCTGAAACAAAAAGCAATTTTTATACATAAATTTCATTCTAAAAGTAAAATTTAACAAGAAATGTAAATTTTCCACATTTTAAAAGTCTGTACCAAAGTAAGAAAAACGGAACACTTGAAAGAATTGCACTGTTTGCTCAAATATAAAAGTTATTGGATTGCGATTAAATTACAGCGGTAAATAAAACGAAGTAAAAATTTGCACACGTCCTACTACTGCTTATTAGCCTGTTCTCACCTTTGAAAACTAATTTCAATAGAGGAGAGTCCATCGCGCTACTTACGTACCTACATTGGATTACGAACTTTACATATTACATATTTTATTACTGAATTTCATTATTCACATTAGTACCGGCACCAGCATTTGAAAGGAAATGTCTAGTCTTTTTCTTTTCGAACGTTTTTTTAAGTAAAATTTACTGTTGTAAAGTTCCACGAATGTGGCATGAGATTTGCTTTCATTTTCTTGATGGTTTACGGGAATATTATTAATATCAATATCAATATTTATTTTTAAAAACACAATCGTTACAAGCGTATATCAGAAGTACAAGAATTATGTATTGTAGGCGGAAAGCTGTCCCTTTTTTGGTCCGGACGAACAAAAATTATTTTTCCGAATTCCGACGTATTGCAGTAACTTTCGCAGTAAGATATGGAAATTGTAGCGGAACGGTGATCTATACTACATGTGGTGTACTTTGTCACAGCTAGTATCAATCCAAACCTTTATATAACAATAATTCAATAATATAATTAAGGATCTTCACGTAGACACGTCTCATATGGGAATACAGCTTAGTTTCGTTCTTCAAAAGCGTATTGTCATCTTTCTTGAATAACTAGACTTCCACAGTTCTGCTCCACATCTCCGTAATAATGCCACTATGGAGGGCGAAATTCAAAAGCTTCTGAAGGAATTCAAGTACCGGTATTCTATCCGATTTCAGAAGCTCCGCCGTGATTCCATCCTTGCCCGGGGCTCTTTGAGCATAAATAATATCATTATTTATTTTTAATTTTACATTTTGACTTATTGTTTTTTGACGAGATACCGTTAATTCTATTGTAAAGGCCCAATTCTTAACATAAGTAAGAGCTCTGTGTGGGCCAAAGTTGAAGAAAGTCTTTCAATGCTTTCTTTACTTCATAAACAGCATCAAAACAGAAATAACACTTGCATGCCTTAAGCGATAGCGCAAGGTATGTTCTACTATTTTGTATATTAGGCCCATACCCGGTATAATCCGTCAATGAATATTTCAACATTGTTATTTAAATATATAAATCGATTGGTTTTGTAAGAATTACAACAAAAGTAAGTGTTATAACGAAAAATATCAGGGTAGTTGGACCGGGTCGCTCGTAAAATATAAAACAATTACATAGAGTGTCGAATATCCGAACTAGTTGGGGGACATGGGTGTTCGGAAAACGGGTCATTCGAATAATCGAACTGTATAATTTTATATACCAATGTACCAATAAAACATATTTATATGTAATACAAATTTCGTTTATTACATTTGTAAGCAGGAATATAAATGAAGTACAGATAGCGTAGTAAACAAAAAATATTGTATAATCAATATTGAACATACAGTACGCTTATAAAATCAAAGTTTAAAGAAGTCCTTTATTTTGGTCTGTCGCAGCGAATCTACCTTCTTACGCGCAGCTAAGTCACGCACTTTTTTAGAACATATATCTGATACTGATTCATCTTGAGCTTCAAACCATCGCAAAGTAGTATCTAAGCTACGTCAGAAGCAGTAGGTATATTTTTGTCTTTATATTCTGAACCACTAGTTGATGACGTACTGGTGGCATCAGCTTTGTCACTCACGACAACGAGGTCTACAATTTCGCTATCCTGCAAGATTTGGTGCCCTGCATCTGCATCGTCTTCAGTCATTCGTTCTTGCACGTCTTCAACAAATTCTTGGCAATTGAGTTCTTGAAGCATATTTAGCATTTCAGACATATCATTCTGTTCTTCATTTCCACTTTCACCTTGGGAACTTTCCGCTATACCAAAATAATATTCGAGGGTTTTTTTTTCATTCTGTTCTTTTAAACTGTCCTAAGCTGCTCCGATCATGTAGAATGCATCTTTTAAATCAATCTTTATATAATTTCTAATAAGACTTTCCTCTGCCTCCTCTTCTCTTTCTAGCAACAACTTACGTAGCAATTAGTTTCTGTAATATCGCTTGAAAGTCTCAATAACACATTGGTCCATGGGGTGTAATATAGAGGTTACGTTAGGTGGAAGAAACATCACTTTATAAATTCATCTTTTCCATTTAGGATGTCACATGATAGATGAGTTGGTGCATTATCAAGGATCAATAAAGTTTTCTCTCTTTTGCCATTCTTTAGCTGACAGGCTTTTACAGCGTGTACAAAAACTTCTATAAACCATTCCGTGAAAATTGGACTGTTCATCCAGACGCTCTTTTGTGACGTGTAAACAATAGGCATTGCAGACATATTTACGTGTTTGAAACAACGCGGTTTCTTGCTTTACCAATAACAAGCATAGGCAATCGGTGGGTACCAGTTGCATTAGCATAAGTTAGATCAATGATAGGATCCTTGTTTACTTTAGGACCAGGTGCCGCTAATTCACGACGCAAAACAAGAGCTTTTCGTGGCAAAGCCTTCCAATTGAGCACAGTTTCGTCAGCGTTGTAAACGTTTTCCCGAGCATAATCTTCAAGTTTCAATACGTCGCTTAATTTTATTTTAAAAGTATCAGCTGCTGAAGAATCAGCAGGCAATTTTCCTCCTTGTATTTGAAGCTTTCGAATGCAATTTCTTGACTTAAACCGTTTTAACCAGCCCGTGCTTGCTTGAAAGTTCGACGGCCCTCTAAGTTTTTATTAAATTGTTTTGCCTTTTCACATTGAATGGGACCAGAGATAGGTTCTCCTAGTGATCTTTTTTGTGTACCACTTGTAAACAGCGTCATTGAAATCGATATTCGTGACGAACTTCATAGTTTGACGACTTGTCGACCCATCAGTAGAATCAAGCTGGGATATAAAATTTTATATGGTCGTGTTTTGCTTTTTTATATCCGTAATGGTCGACTTATCCACTTTGTACTCATTAGACAACTTGGTTGCAGTTTCGTCTTTCTCTAATCGTTTGTTAATCTCGTATTTATCTCTCATGGAAAGAACTACACCTTTACGTTTATGCATTTTAAATTGTAAGCTAATAGGGCAAAACTAATACACGAAAGTGATCGTAATAGAGTGCTTACGCTGACTGAGTGTGCGAACAGAGGTACAGTGCTATCGGTACTGAACGTAGGCCAACACTACACTGGGCGCTGCGGGGGCGGTGGGAAGGGCTGCTGTGGTAGTTGCATCTCAGCGTGGCAGTAGTTCGGTTAAGCGATCGTTCGGTTGATCGACGTTCGGATAATCGACGCTCTACTGTATTTTAGATGCGACGGAATATACTCAGAAAGCTTGCCGCTGCTGAAGTTATATTTCGATAATATGTTTTTTTCAACGGTTATCAATTCCTATCTCTACTGCACGTGTGTAAAATAGAATAATGCGCGCGTAAATAATTTATTTAATAGTTGTAACCAATGACAGGTTATCTTTCTTGTGTATTTTGTAAATGATCATCATTATCATTATTACAGCCCTTCACAAGTTCACTGCTGAACATAGGCCTCCCCCAAGAAATGCCACAAAGCACGGTCCTGACACACCTGCATCCATCGACTTCCTGCTTATCTTACCAGGTCGGCACTCCATCTAGTGGGGGGACGCCCAACACTTCGCCTGCCGGTACGAGGCTGCCACTCGAGAACCTTTCTTCCCCATCGGTTGTCGGTTCTTCGAGCTATATGGCCGGCCCATTGCCACTTCAGCTTACTAATCCGTTGAGCTATGTCGGTCACTCTGGTTCAACTGCGGATATCCTCATTTCTGAGTTTATCACGCAGAGAAACTCCGAGCATAGCCCTCTCCATAGTTCGCTCAGCGACCTTGAGCTTCCTCATCCGGCCAGCAGTGAAGGACCACGTCTCAGTTCCGTATGTCATCACTGGCAACACTCACTGGTTGTACAGTCTCGTTTTCAAGTTTTGAGGTATACCTGACGAGAAGATGTGCCGTAATTTCCCGAACGCTGCCCAACCGAGTTGATTCCGTCGATTGACCTCTCGGTCAAAGTTGGACTTACCTAGTCGGACTATTTGTCCCAGGAAAAGATACTCATCAACAACTTCGAGCTTAGTGCTCCCAACAACTACCGGCATAGGTGTGACATGGACATTACACATGATCTTTGTTTTGTCCATCTTCTCTTAAGACCTATCCGTTGGGAACACTATTAAGGTCATTGAGCATAGTGCTTAGGTCCTCCAGCGATTCTGCCATAAGGACTATATCGTTGGCAAATCGAAGGTGAGTGATGTACTCACCGTTGATGTTAATACCGTATCCTTTCCAGTCCAGTAGCAACGTAAACGCCTTCCAGTGCAACGGTGAAGAGTTTCGGGGATATAACATCATCCTGTCTTACACCTCTCTGTAATTGGATAGGTTTCGTACTCTGGTTCTGTACTCGGATAGCCATCGTAGCCCTACTGTACAAGCACTTCAGCACTTCGACATACCGACAGTCCACTTGGCACTGCTGAAGGGACTGCAGCACCGCCCAAATTTCGACGGAATTAAAGGCTTTCTCATAGTCCACATACGCCAGACATAGTGGCAAATTGTACTCCTGTGACTTTCGTACAATTTGCCGAAGGGTATGTATGTGGTCTATGGTGCTAAAGCCTTTTCGGAAACCGGCTTGTTCGGGAGGCTGGAAGTCGTCAAGTCTGCGCGCGAGACGATTCGTAATGACTCTCGAAAACGGCACGTAGACGCGGCTCAGAAGGGAAATCGGTCTGTAGTTCTTCAAGAGAGCGTTGTCGCCTTTCTTAAAGAACAAGACCACCATGTACAGCTGCCCATAGAACCTCTCAATCTCACTCAAAATCACAGGTGCCCCGGAAACGATGCTGCCACATTCTGTCTTCAGCTTTGGCAGTTGGCTCTTTCTGGCAGACAGATCTCTGGCAAAGACTTTGGAGCCTTGGTTCTGCTCGATCGCTTCTTCAATACAAGCTGTATTGAAGTTGCGTAAGTCCCGCCGTATGCATTTGGAGATCTGTCTGTTCAGTTGCCTGTATGCTGTCAAATCTGTTGAAGAATGTAGATTCATCTCCCGTCTAACAGCCATAAGATTAAGACTGTGATCGGAGAGTTTTTGTGTTCTTCTGCGGCGGGTCTTGCAGAACTTAGCTCCGACCGCATGGACAGTTTCCACGAGCTTGTCATTCATATCGTCCACTTCATTGCAGTCTTCTAGGCACTGAAAACGGTTTCATAACTCGAGCTGAAAGGTTTCGGGACTTTGGATTAGAGCACGAGGGGAACGGAGCGTTGACTTCATTAGATGAGACCTCTCCAACTTAACGTTTAGTTTCAGTGTGCCTCTAACCATTCGGTGATTGCTGCCGGTTTTCACCCTCGCGATCACTGAGACATCACTGAACAGTTGTCGTCTGGTCGTCATAATGAAGTCAATCTCATTTTTTGTTGAACCGTCGGGGCTCGACCAGGCCCATTTCCTGTGGGGCCGCTTCTGGAAGAAAGAGTTCATCATAAAGAGTCCCTCTTTCTCCATGAAGTCGGCCAGCTGCTGGCCCCTTGGGTTCCGTTGCCCTATTCCAAATTTCCCTACTTTCAGCTCACCATTCTCTCTTGTGCCTAGCTTTGCATTGAAGTCCCTCATTCACACCGTATATTGGGTTTTGGAGGAATGCATGGCTCTAGAGATATCCTCATACATTTCCTCCACCTCCTCATCGGGGTGTGCCGAGGTTGGTGCGTAAACCTGTATGACATTCAGCGAATACCGTTTGGTGATTTTTAGTATAAGGTACGCAACCCTCGTCGACACACTCAATCTTTACAACGTTGTTAACAAGAGACTTGTGGACGATAAATCCGACACCTCCTTGGGACAGACCATCTGCCCTCCCGGTAATAGAGCAAGTTGCCGGATTCGAGGATTACCGTGTCCTCCCCCTCTCTTCGGACCTCGGATAATCCTATAATATTCCAGGGTAACTTGTCTATCTCTTCTTCCAGCTCCACAATCTTCTCGTCAGTCCTCAGGGTGCGTGCATTGTATGTTGCCAGGTCGAGTCGTCGTAGGTGGCAAGCGAACCTCCACCGAAGATTTTTAGCACCCCCTGCCCCGCCGTTACCATGGTCGCCACCGTAGCCAGGGATAGCGTGGCCACTGGGGACTGGGGGCCGTCTCTTAGTAACTTTATCCATTTGGGGGGTATTTGCCACAGTTGCCACGCTTGGCGAGTGGGTTGGCAACCGCAGTTTCTTTTATTGTATTTTTGCTGTTATCAGGAAGATGCTGCTGCCCATCTCCTGCCTCGTCCCCTTTGTCGACTTTTACGATACCCACGGGAAGATATGGGGTAGTGGATATTCTTAACCTCCACTATACGGCACCGCCACTACATTTTGTAAATGTAAGACATTAATTATTATTTTTATTTTTTGCTTGTGCGAATAACAACATCCGTCTTTTGTACTTCTAAAATCTATGGAATGCGCTGATTTTTAGTAGCTTACCTTTCAATCATATCTACAGCTACTTGGTCAAGTATCGTGGAGTAGAGCCTTATAGTTTTCGGCTGCAGCATCACAGGATTAACCATGGAGCGCAGCTTCTTCCATTGTTCGCCTTGACTGACAAAGAATAATTTATGAAACCTAATAATATATGTTTGCAGTTTTATATAAATATAATAATTACGAGTAGTATATTATCAATATTGTCATGTTTCTATAACGAAGTTTATTATGAGAACTCAATAGTGTAGTGTATCTAAAAAACGCTAGACCAAAATTACTCATGCCTTTTCGTGAACCATACTTCTAGTGAAAGATAAAAATATAATAAAAGAATTAAAAGCATCTAATTTGAAAAAAATTACGCCGTAATTGAAGGCGGGTATTTGAAAATAGCATAATTACAATTATTAACACTTAATTAATAATTATACCATATGTACTACACATAATATGATTTTACTATGGAAATAAATAACCAACCCGTCGCTGGATAAGATTGCATCATATAAATATGGTTCACTAAAATATAAAGAGACAGACAGATGATACACCAGCAATGATTGAAGTGCAGAACAAGAATCGTAAACCTAACTCAAAAAATATGCGTGAGTGTCGTGGAATGGAACACTCGGTTGGAACGAAGTTCCTTTCGTAGTATATTATTATTGATAAACGTATTATATTAGTGATTAACGGATACCAATAAATGAATTACTAGCGTCTATTAAAATGAAGCGTCATTTAAAATAAAATAATATTTCCTTCATGACAAGATAAGAAAAAGTGCGAGGGAGATGGATATTATTTCATCTCGCGTCCTTATAGCCGCCAAGGCCGTCTACACTACGTCAGATGGGGTCGTGGCCGAAAAATCTTCCACTTTTTTTTGCCTAGTCTGTTAAATTAGTACCGTCTAAGAAACTTCGTTCCAATAATAATAAAAACACAAAATGATGACATTAAGTATTTCTTCTAGCCGCAAAATACGTATCGTCCGATAAGGAACTTCGTTCCAAAAATCCAAAATATATATATGCTAAAAATAAAGTGCATGAATTCATTCAATTAAAAGAAAATTAAATCAAATTATAATCGTCAGTAACCTAATGGCTGGGCACGGACCGCGAACTCGAAAGGTCGTGGATTCGAATCCGCCATTCGACTAAAGTCGTGAACCACTTCTAACACAAGCATTTTAAGCTTACCAGAGGTGGTTAAAGGGAATATTAGTAATGTTTAATAGCATTACTAGTATTTTTTTAAATAAAATAAATAAAAAGCCAATATTGCCAGTCTCGAGCATAGGATAGCCAGCCTCTCGGTGTCCCATAGATTCAAATATTTTTTACCTCTAAAAAGATAAAAAAATTAATTAATAATTACATAGTAAACGTACTCAGTTACAAGTCCCGTAATTCTGTCAGGATTGCCATCACTTTTCTTATATTCTTTTCTATAATGTTCTAATGATTGGAACCCAGGACGCTTCGGCATCCAGTTCTCACTTCGCAGAACCTGTAAAAAACGTACGGTATAAGGTAACTACAGTAGTTTGAAATAAGCTTTTGAAGACACTTATGAAACGTTATGCGAGCACTTTAATAAATACCATGCAACATAAAGGAGAGTGTACTGGTGGTTAAGAATATTCACTACCCCATATCTTCCCGTGGGTGTCGTAAGAGGCGACAATAGGAAACAGGTAGGAGATGAGCAGCCGCGTCTTCCTGATGACAACAATTTCAAGTTCCGGACGCACCTGAGATTTTGAGTGAGATTGGGAAGTTCTATGAACAGCTGTACACTTCATCATTGGAGCCATACGCAACTGTGAGTAACGATTCAAGAGCAAGTCTTATCCGACACTATTCCGATGATATCCCGGACGTCAGTCTTTAGATACGAGATTGGAATGACTCTCCAGCACCTTAAAAACGGCAAGTCACCGGGCGAGGGTAAAATTACAGCGAAGGTTCTGAAAGCGGGTGGAAAACGGGTACTCAAAGTCCTTCAGAAGCTCTTTAATTCCGTCCTCCATGGTGGGACTACTCCGGAGGCGTGAAGCAGAAGTGTGATGGTCTTGTTCTTCAAGAAAGACGACAACGTTCTCTTGAAAAACTACAGACCAATTTCCTTTCTGAGCCGCGTCTACGTGCTGTTTTCGAGAGTCATTACGAATCGTCTCGCACGTAGACACAACGACTTCCAGCCTCCCAACTAAGCCAGTTTCCGAAAAGGCTTTAGTACTATAGACCACATCATATCCTTCGGCAAATTGTACAGAAGACTAAAGAATACAATCTGCCACTTTGCCTAGCGTATATGGACTATGAGAAGGCCTTTGATTCCGTCGAAATTTGGGCGGTACTACAGTCCCTTCAGCGGTGCCAAGTTGACTATCGGTATATCGAAGTGCTGAAGTGTTTATACAGTTGGGCTACGATGGCTATCCGAGTACAGAACCAGAGAACGAAACCTATCCAACTACAGAAAGGTGTAAGACAGGGTGAGTTTATATCCCCGAAACTCTTCACCGTTGCACTGGAAGGCGTTTACGTTGCTACTGGACTGGAAAGGATACGGTATTAACATCAACGGTGAGTACATCACTCACCTTCGATTTGCCAACGATATAGTCCTTATGGCAGAATCGCTGGAGGACCTAAGCACTATGCTCAATGACCTCAATAGTGCTCCCAACGGATAGGTCTTAAGAAGAAGATGGACAAAACAAAGATCATGTGTAATGTCCATATCACATCTATGCCGGTAGTTGTTGGAAGCACTAAGCTCGAAGTTGTTGATGAGTATGTTTACCTGGGACAATTAGTCCGACTAGGTAAGTCCAACTTCGACCGAGAGGTCAATCAACGGATTCAACTCGGCTAGGCAGCGTTCGGAAAATTACGACACATCTTCTCATCAGGTATACCTCAAAAATGGAAACGAAATTGTACAACCAGTGCGTGTTGCCAGTGATGACTTATGAATCTGAGACTTGCTCCTACAATGCTAGCCGTAGTAGGACGCTCAAAGTCGCTTAGCGAGTTATGGAGAGGGCTATGCTTAGGGTTTCTTTGCGTGATAAACTCAGGAATGAGGATATCCGCAATATAACCAGAGTGATGGACATGGCCCAACGAAACAGTAAGCTGAAGTGGCAATGGGCCGGCCATATAACTCGAAGAATCGGCAACCGATGGGGAAAAAAAGGTTCTTGAGTGGACCCCCCCCCCCCCCAAAGGACTATGCTTTGTGGCATAACTTGGGGGAGGCCTATGTTCAGCAGTGGACTTGTGAAAGACTGTAATGGTGACGATGAATATAAAGGAGAATATATTAACCAATACATTTTATTCTTCTTTATCAGCTCGTTACAGGCTACTGGTGGACATAAGACTTTTTCTTTTGTAGAAATGATTAAATTTATTAACATTAATCTCTCACATAACATTATATCAAAAGTCTTTTCTACCGACTTCAAAAATGAGGAGGTACTCAATTCAACTGCATTTTTTTGTTTTTTTTTTTATGTGTGTTACCTCATAACTTTTTTCTGGGTGAACCAATTTTGATTATTCTTTTTTTATTTGAAAGCTGGTGCTTCTCTTGTGGTCCCATATAAATTTGATCAAGGCGTGACCAGTAGTTTTTGAGTTATCGTTAATAATTTTTTTGAAGTTGATTGTACAAAAATTTTAATTTTACCACTTTTTAGGTCTTCTAATGAACACAGGCCTGTCTAAAATGCGTTGGTTCGCTAGGTTTACTTGGAAGACTCGTCCTTAATTAAAACTTTGCGCCCTGCCATCAATTGATACAAATTGGACTCAAAGGGATTCGTGGAAATAATTGGCATGTTCCCTCTTACACCTCATATTCATATTCTTACTGAATAAGATAAAAAAATATATGCTGATATAAAAGATAAGTAATATCTTACATGTGCCATACTCTCTGCATCAAAAAGTAAAACTAAGCTCGGTGCACCAAACATACCGGGCAGTTTCACGATGGGTCCAAACGCTTTATATAATCGTTCTTGCATCTCAAATCCCTCAGTTGTGTACAGAAGACCTATATCAAATTAAAACAATATCTATATAAAGATACTATAACTATTGTAGAGAGAGAATTTAGTGTTTTTGGAGAAAACCAAGACAGTCTGTAATATAAATAAGTTTTGATGCAATTTAATTTATAACTATATTGTAGACGCATGTGCCTATAACCATTTTCCTGGTATTTCTGTAGTTTTATCAAAAATACCAATTTCGCAACCACATTCAAAATATAAACTTACAAATAGACTAAATAATTTTGTTATATTTTTATATAGCAGATGTTACAAGCGCAACAGGTTGGTAACCTGATTTGCACAAGAGTTTATTTAAGCTAAGATTCAAACCCTAAGCCAACAGTTGCATAAATACTATGACAACTGGGGCGCATAGCTAATGCCTTTAACAATGCATTCTGTCTAAAATAATTATTGCTCTCGTTGAATCATAATCAGAATGTGAGAATGTGAGAAAGTCTTTATTTTTGCATGTTAGTACTATTAGACACTATAAAACCTAGTTGTCGCTTCAAGTGGTTTTTATAAAAATTAAAAAAATAACAGACGGATTGACCAGAACGTTACCCGATGTCATGTTAATTTTAACGCGATGTAAGGTACGTGAGGGTAATATGGTCACCTTAAGCTTTGCCGCCCTATAAAACCAAGACATGGAGAAGGACAGTGACAAAAAAACAAAGTCGTATACTATAACTTGTATATTAAGAAAAAAAAAATAGCAAACACGCTTTGCCAATAATTCCACTTCGAAAAATCAACTTATAAAAAACTAACTACACTACACTAAATTCGAGTAAAATTTTTACTATATTCTTAACTGTCAAAATGGCGTCAATATAGCAGCGCCCTTTTGACCCTTTATTATTTGATTGACTGATACTGAGCTATCGTATCACAGAGTCACATTGCAAACAAGGCTGTAGTTTTTGAATTATAAGAAAGTGACCATATTAACCGGATGACCATATTAACCTCACGTACTATAATATATTATATAGCAATGAAACACCACAAAGTTTAATTGAAGAATATAAAAAATAATCCATATTTGTATAGATTTTTTCAATATTCTTTATTGTACGCAGTAAACACTATAAGTTGATAACAATTTGAAATATATAATACCCTGATATAGTAAGAGTTATCTTCAAGCAAACTCATATAACTTTATCGCTCTTTGGTAAACACTTTGTTAGATAATATCTAGCATATTATGCTTCTGTTAGTGTTAACGATCGCAAAGTAAAACAATGTTATCAGGTAATAATAAACAATTGGTCAACGATCTTCAGAAAGAATAAAAATAAACACCTTTTTATGTTAGTATAATTGATTAATATTTTAAATTTATTTACCATTTGGAAGAAAATGATGAAGAGCACCTATAATTGGCAAAGACGATGGACCAGGAATCTCCTCCCACGACTTCAGTTGCCGTGTCGTTTCAGATATGTTTACTGCTATGTTGTTGACATTCGAAACAAACCTACAGGAACATGTTTTTATTATAGTATAAACTTCACCTCATTATTAGCTCTCATATTTGAGTGCTGTTTTATTTACTACGTTCTCAGCAATATAAAAAAACATAGAATAGGTATAAAGTGTTTAAGAAACCAAATATAATTAGGGAACAAACTGCTCCTCTTCCACTATATGCTCAAAGTGAATTGTGCCCAGGAGTAGAATTTCATTGATACTTGACTTTAAGGTTATTATTAATATTAAAGGATTTTGTTTAAATAACTCTGTATCCGCTAAAGTTTTTTAACGCCTACGATATGAAAACAAAACATTGCTAATATTATTCCATTTATCTACCCTAAAAAAAGTCCATATTGCCGCATAAGGGGGATATTTGCCATAATTGCCACGCCTGAGCTTGACAAATAATCACATTTGTTTTTCTAGTTATTGTTAGAGAGATGTTGCTCTCCATCTCCTTTGTTTCTCCATGTCGCCTCTTACGACATTTACAAAACGGTAAGTGACAGGGGTTCTTCTCCCACCGCCACTACAAGAGTGCTAATTACTTGTAACTAAAGTAATAGTCACAAGCTAAGCCATCAAAATATCATAACAGTCCGCGCGGAACCATTCTCACACAGCTCTCACTCCTCCATACTCTCTCTCCCGTTTTGGATGTAGAGCCTGGACATTATAATCAGTAGCTATAACCCAAGATGAATTACTTTGAAGTATTGATGAATGAATTCGAATACAGAACTAACAATTCACTAACGGTGTACTTACTAACTAAGATGAACATAATCTTCTATCATAGCCCATATATTCATAAAATGTTATTCGTAATATATCTTTCACCTCTGAAATTTTAATATTTTAAAAATCCTTACAAACCTACTTCTAAATATTATTTTTAAAAAACCAGGCATATGAATTGAATCAGACGTAATAATGTGAGAATAAAACGTATTACGAATGCATCAAGAAATAAAATTATTACATATATTGTCCTCTAGACCGAACTTCGGTCACGGAGACAAGTCGCGCAGGACAGGTTTTATACATTGAGTACCTACGTTGTACGTAGTATGTACATTATAACTCAATCGTTTTATAATCCACGAGGACATTTACTCACGTGTTACGTGTACTGTTTATTTCCACACTTTAATGTTGTAATTTAATAGATAAAATTAAGATATTGACAAATGCACATAAACAGAAACACACGAACATGCAGCTAATTTAGGAATCTTGATCGAGACGATTCATTCGTACAGCACATGGCAGAAGACCATGTAGAGCGCTGCATTTCTCTACCTTATAAAAAACCGGTCAAGTGCGAGTCGGACTCGCGCACCGAGGATTCCGAACAAATCCGTAGCTATATATGTTTAAAATTTTTAAAAATATTTTTATTATATGATGTAACTAAAAATTTATGCTTTTCGCAATTTCAACTTTATCTGTTCTATAATACGTTGCTTCGTACCAAATTTTAAGATTTTGAGTTCACGGGAAGTACCCTGTTGGTTTTGATTCCCTTGTGAATGTCGAAAATTTGCGGCATAAACGGCTGTATCTTTTGATTGCGTTGGCTTAGAAGTTTAATTTTTTCACAGCTCCAAGGAACAGTAGACTTGAGTATTTGATATGAATTTCAGCTCGATACCTCTTGAAAGGGTCTTGGCCGACAGACAGACGGACAACAAAGTGATCAAATAAGGGTTCTGTTTTCAGGGTTCCGTACGTCAAAAGGAAAAAAACATAAATTTTCTACGTCGTAGAGCCATGCTGCAGCTATATTATGGTTGTAGCACGAATGGGTCGGCTCGAACGGGGAAGGACCACGCTCTCACAGAAAACCAGCGTAAAATAGCAGCTTAACGCTGCTGTGTTTCGTATGGTGAGTGTAGAGAACCGGAGACCCTTTTTACTGGCAAAGAGGCATTCCATCTTAGTCCTCACGGGTGACAACGCATCTGCATCTTGAGTCTTTATTGAGGATAGATGTAGAAGTCGATGGGTCACAGTAACCACTTACCATCAGGTGGACTGTGTGCTCGTTTGTCACCCGATCCTATAAAAAAAAATCTACGGATTTGTTCGGAACCCTCGGTGCGCGAGTCTGACTCGCACTTGGCCGATTTTTTCCTTTTGAGGTACGGAACCCTAAAAAACTATAGCAGTTATAAAGCTCCATAACACATTTTGTTATAAAGTAAACCAGTATCTGCATGTACACGGTAATTACCGTAGATGCATCGTCATTTGGTCTTAACCTGCCGTCAAGGTAATATGACATTACCGTGTCAATGTCACCGTAATACCATTATATACCGTAATGTGCTCAAACGCCGAGTGCGAGCGCATTTTTAGCCAAGTCAATGATATAAAAACGAAAAAGAAATAAACTTTCAACCAAAACACTAAAAGGAAATATTTTTCACCCAGCAATCAATGAAAAGAAATAGCAAAAAGTGTGTTGATTTCAGGCCGACTAACGATATGTTAACTAAAATAAATAAATCCATTGACGAAAAAATAGTTTCGTGCTAAGAGTCAGATTCAGAATAATATTGTTTTACTTTAACATATTTTTTAAAATTCTTAGTAATTAATTCAAAGCAAATATATTTGAACTTGATTTTGTTCATAATATTGTATTTTTCTGCGAAAAGTTACACGGTAATTTACACGGTACACTTATAGTTAATCTACCGTAATTTTATCTAGAAATACGGCATTTTTCTGCCGACTTCCAAAAAGAAGACGGTACTCAATTCGACTGTATGTTTTTTTAATGTGTATTACCTCAATTTAAAATTTTGTACAGCCGATTTCAATATAAGTTATTAAGAATAACTCAAAAACGATTGGTCTGACCTGATCAAATTCATATGGGACCACACGAGATGTACCAGCTTTCAAATAAAAAAAAAGAATCATTGAAATCGGTTCACCGAGTAAAAATTTATGAGGTACCTACCTAATACACATAAAAAACATACAGTAGAATTGAGTACCGTCTCCTTTTTGAAGTCGGCAGAAAATAAATATATATTCCCTATTACATACTAAACATAAACCTACGTCTTTTTAGAACTATGTCGTATGTTGTTTTTTTTTTTAAATGGTAAATTAACTGAATACAATAATATATAATTTATTATTTTGAAATTCATATTACCTGAACCAATTAAAATTAATAACAGCGTACTTAAAGACAGGACGTATTTTTGACGTTTGCATTGTTAGGCTTCTGATCACAAAAACATAGGTACTAATAGTAACAGAGCAATAAATATGCACATCGATTGTAACAGCGCACTGTATAAAATTATATAATAAACACAAAATGATTATTATAAATAATACGAATTTATATTTTAAACGCGAGGATATTTCTTTAACTCTGAATTACCTACGCGTTACACGTTATACTGGTATCTATGTTATTATTATTATGAATGTTTGATGATTACGACCTTGATACAAACGTGAACGCACACAGAAATAGATTTCATGTAGGTACGCTCAATAGCAACGCAAAGCGCAAACGATAACGTTTGATAATCCTTTGTTTTGTGTCACCACTCGTTGGTTTTGTTTTGACAAAATATTTTAACATGACTAAAAGACTTACAAAGCCAATTACACATATATACAAATTATAAGAGAAATTAAAAAAACTAAGTAGGTATATGTATTTCTACCTCTATATACCAAATAAATCATTATGTCAACTTGATTATTACAGATACTACAGTGTGTGTGTGTGTGTGTGTGTGTGTGTGTGTGTGTGTGTGTGTGTGTGTGTGTGCGTGTGTGCTTGTGCGTGTGCGTGTGCGTGTGCGTGTGCGTGTGTATGTGTGTGTGCGTGTGCGTGTGCGTGTGCGTGTGCGCGTGCGTGCGTGCTTGCGTGCGTGCGTGCGTGCGTGCGTGCGTGCCTCCTCCCCCTTTCCATGGCACTGATTTAAACCATAATTCAAGAGCAGTAACCCATTAGCGGTCAAGTTCACGCTAAAACTCTTTTAGTTTTTATTTTAATTATCAGCCATACACCATTGCTTAGGCAAGCGTTTAAAGCTTTTGTGAAGTCAATGCGCTTGACCATCTTCAATTGTAGTCATGCACTGGCTTCGAATAGTAAAAAAATATTTCTTCAACCTCTGAGCTCATAGTAAATCGGAACTTATAATCAAAATTTTCGAACTCCAACATCTTTTTGCTTGCGTACATACATGGATTGACAATACTTGCGTTTATACATTGATTTTAAGATGCTACCACGGCTTTAAAATGAAAGTGATAACAAATTTAATAAACAATAAATATTGCTGAAACTTAAGAAAATCTTTTTATAGAATACGTAGTATAATCATATTGTAAGTTATTACTCGTGTTAGTAATTTCTTAATATCGCAGAGACTTTAAAAATTTAATTTAAGGAAGAACGACAGGATGTTTTATTTTGATATTAGACTACATTAACATGTAGACGTCAAAATGCATGCATAGCAGCACATTCATTTTAAGATATAAAGCCATTTCGAAGTAGGAATATACTCACATACTATGCTTACGGCTGCTTACATAATAAAACAATCTTCGTAGCTTCTATTAGCTATGGGTTCTTAGAATCTTAATAAGAAGTGAACAGTCCATTATTATCACAACGTTGTCGAGGATTCATCTTCGCACCCTTGTTTTGTATAGGATAATACTCAAATAACTTTTCAGAGACTTGGATCATAATGAAAGGTATATCCATTTTGTTATACATCATCATCATCATCACAGCCCTTTACAAGTCCACTGCTGAACATAAGCTTCCCCCAAGGAATGCCACAAAGCACGGTCCTAAGCCTCCTGCATTCAACGACTTCCTGCAAGTGTTACCAGGTCGTCACTTCATCTAAAGGGGGGAAGCCCTACACTTCGCCTACCGGTACGAGGTCGCCACTCGAGAACCTGTTTTCCCCATCGGTTGTCGGTTCTTCTATCTATATGACTGGCCCATTGCCACTTCAGCTTACTAATCCGTTGGACTATGTCGGTTACTCTGGTTCTACTGCGGATATCCTCATTTTTAAGTTTATCATGCAGAGAAACCCCGTGCATAGCCTTCTCTATAACTCGCTGCCCATAGCTCGCAGCCTTCTCCATAGCGGCTAGTAATGAAGGACCACTGATCCATAAGTCGTCACTGGCAATACGCCCTGGTTTTACAATCACGTTTTCCAGTTTTGAGGTATACCTGACGCTGTCCAGCCGAATTCGTCGATTGACATCTCGGTCGAAGTTAGATTTACCTATTCGGATACCTATTTGTCCCAGGTAAACACATTCATCAATAACTTCAAGCTTATTGCTCCCAAAACTAACGACATAGGTGCGACATGGACATTACACATGATCTTTGTTTTGTCCATGTTCAACTTAAGACCTAACCGCGTCGCTTTTCTTGAAGAACAAAATCACCGCACTTCTTCTCCACGTCTCCGGTGTAGTGCCATCATGAAGTACGCTTCTGAAGGACTTTAAATACCGACTTTCCACCTGCTTTTAGAAGCTCCACTGTAATTTCATCCTCGCCGGGGGACTTGCCGTTCTTCTAATAACAATAATGATATAAATAAAAAATTGTTTGTCAAACCAAGCGTTGAAACAATGGCAAATATCCCCCTTATGAGGAAATATCTATGGGGAGGCATATAATATGGAGTGGACTTTGATAGACTGTGACGGATGGTTGAATCAGTGGCCAAGCTAGGGCTCCAAATCTAGGGCAACTTCAAGATATGGTTTTGGTGTTTTTAGCAGTTTTATGAAAATACACCAATCTTGATCTGTATCCAATCTTCAGTTTCATATTCAGTGCTGTCGAGGACGTGTTTAACAAAGTACGCAAAAGGCATACTACTGCTAGATAGATCGTATGACAATCAGCAATTGCATACCTTCGGTGACTTTGAAAAAAGTCGTTTGGGTTTGCTTGAGTGAAAGAAAAAGATATTTACATACAATACAATACATGAACAAAAGAAAAGCATGAACAAAGTACAAACAAACTATGTACAAAATTAAAATAACAAATTATTTATATTCTAAATTGAATCTTCTCTCTTTCTTAATAAAAATTTGATTACGTCCGCGTAAAATGTTGGTGAACGTTTTAATTGTACCAATAACTGTTTATGTGGATGTGGATATGAGCTGTTTTTTTTTTAATAAAGATTAAAGATTTTAACACTTCCTCGCCGATTAGCACTTTAACACACTTCAAGTCTAGTATTAAACATGATAGAGCCATGCTGCAGCTATATTTCTGGTATAGTTGTAACACGAATGGGTCGGCTCGACCAGGGAAGGACCACGCTCTCACAGAATACCAGCGTAAAATAGCAGCTTAATGCTGCTGTGTTTCGTATGGTGAGTGTAGAGAACCGGAGACCCTTTTTACTGGAAACGAGACATTCAATCTTAGTACTCACGGGTGACAACACATCTGCATTTTAATTCGTAATCGAGGATAAATGTAGATGTCTATGGGCCACAGCAACCACTTACCATCAGGTGGACTGTGTGCTCTTTTGTCAAGGAACACTGTTATCCTCCATTTTCACTAAAAGTCTTTAAAAAAGCATACATTTTCAACTCGCAATATTCATTCGTTCAAGTAAACACACGGAGTAAACATTGAAATGTGAAGTGAAGTTGCAAACGAATCGCCCGGGTGCCCCCGCGCTCGATTAACTTCACAAGAAAAGCTTGGCTTGTGGCTTCATACTAATTGCTATATAAATAATCGTAGTTATATTTCATAATAGAACATTTTGCCATAGGTTAGAAAGGGAGCGATAGTCTTCTCGAAAGCCCGGTAAAAAGCCCACGCGTGCGAGAGAGACGACTAATCACTCAACTCAACTCCTTTATTATGACAGCAGTATCGCGCAGTAAAGCAATCTGCCAAATATTGACGTTACATAATAAGGCTACGAGGTCATGACCTGTGTAGAACAGAGGAACGCGCGGTAAATTTGAAATAGTTTGAAACAGTTTACGAGTTATTTTATTAGTTGATATTATTGATTGAGCAGTTTGATAGGGCAAGCCCAGCTTCTCGGCTTCTATGAAGATTTCGCTACCGGGTTGAATGGACTTGCGTAAATTATTAACAGAGGAAAAAAGCTTTGTAACACAAAGTTAATCTACATGAGCTATTAAAATACCAGTGGCAATATTAAAGTAACAATGCGGGAGCGCAGTAACTATCGCTTCTGCGCTTGACTATGGCGCAGCGAGACAGTGTGACAATTTTTTGTCCATGTGCAATTAATTAATGTCAAGTGCCTCTGCGATAGAGATGAAACTTACTTAGTTATCTTGCCTTACTATAACCTTATGTGTGGATAACGATTTTTATAAATAAAAAGAATATTCTATTGTCTTTTAAATTTTCTTCAATTTAATTTTCCTCAAAAGGAGTCATGAATTTGAGATAAGATAAAATCCTACGACATTATTTTGCAATTTCATTTGGCTTCAAGCAGGAGGTTTTCGAGATTTCGATCAGAAAAGTAATTTGCTTCTCATCCTGTGAATTAACCTGTTACAGAATAAATAAAATGGACACAATTCAACAGATAAAATTTAAAATGGACCTTCAAATACAATTACTAACATAATATTAAAAATTTGTTATCCTAGTCGTTTGTTATCCTCGTTGTCGACAACCTCACCTGCTAAGACGTAGTGTATATAACGAAAGTATAGAAAGAAGTATTAAAGTCCCGACTTCAAGTTTTGTTATCTTGGGAAATTTTTCAATACTTCTTAATTTTTTGTAGTATAGGATTTTACTATTTTTAAAGATAAATTTGAACCCTTATGAGAGAATAAACTAGTATGTTGTCTTAATTAGTTACATTCAAAATGTCACCCTCTTTTTTTTCTACCCTTAGGGCTGAAATTTTTCTGCATTTAAATAGTATCACACTTATAAAAAAATGTTTTTATATGTATCTGTATATACGATCTAATTGAAAACTTTCACACTTTTGGATTTAGCTAATAATATGGGGCTCAGTTGGAATCTGCGGAACTACGATAGCTCAGGAGAGAAACGTTCGCATTAAATTTATATATTGCTGCAATTTTAAAATGCTAATTTATCACTAGCTCAGCGAAAAACATCGTGTGGAAGCATATCAAATATATGTATAAGTGTAAGTCTGCCGACGCGCTACATTATTTTGTGGTAGGACCCATTTTCTGCTTGGGAGAGTCCATCCGGGTATGTTGCATACGTGCAGCAGTGCATGCAAAACTGCGTTCCAGTCCAAAGGATAAAGTGAGCCAGTATAATAACAGATACCCTATCTTTGTCTTCAGACGTGATAATGCATTATCAGCACCCTTTGCTTGAAGTTGGTTGCAGATGTTCATGGGTTGCAGCAGCCACT